TCATGAGGTGGCAGAGCATGAAAGTAACTGTGCTCACCCTAAGAAATCTGGTGAGGAGATCATGAGTGCTCTAGAAGCCATAGATGCTCAAAGGCAGGAAGAACATAAACTGTACAGTGATATCTTCTCCTTGTTGTCTTTTGAGAAGATAACTTTCAATGGTACGAATTATTTTTTTTTTACAGCAACAAATCAAATAGGAAACAGAAATATATGAATATTTAAATGATCTATTCTGAAATGAGTAATACGCCTCTCTCTACCTAATTCCCATAAACGTAAACCCCCTGTACACTTTCCTAATCTAACCCTCTATCCCAACTATACTCCCCTACTAAACACTTTATTCCTAATGCACATTCCTAACTTATCTCTAATACATTTCCCTGACCAAACAATAAATTTCTAATGGTCTACCTATACTTAACACTAATCCCTGATAAGCTTCCATAATGTAACTCTAAATCTCAAGTACACTACCTTGACCTGTCCCTAAATTCTCAATACACTCAAATTAAATCCAAATAAATTATTTTATATAAGCCTGTTAAATAAGTTTAGCCTTGCATTTAATCTTAGCAAAAAACAATTATACTCAATCTTTGATTTTAAAAAAAGGGACTTGAGAGTTGAAATTCAAACCACTCAGCAATCTTTATTGAGTTAAAAAAATACCCACTGAACCATGAGGTCTTACATAAAGTATATCAAATCTGTGTAAAATGCTTTAAAAAAAATATACATCTCTCTGCAATCCTTGAGTGCCACATAACAATGTTCTAGAGTAAACAAATCATTGGTTTTAAGATTCTTCCTTAAATGAAACGGTTTATATCACTTCTGTAGTCAAAACCTACAAAGTTCAAGTGTAAGCATATCGCCTGACTCATTTATCAAAGCAGTATAAAAATATTATTTTTCAAATCTAAATCATTGCATTCTCATTTCAGATCTTCAATTAAAACCATTCCGCACTGATGATTTTATTACTCGTCTCTACTATGAAACAACACGTTTTACTGCCTTTAACCAACAGTGGGTTATAAGAGCCAAAATCAATTCAGATCACAAGAATCCCACTCACACTATCAATAGGTCTTTGTCATACCAGCTGGTTGCTAAAACAAAATTAACAGCTCCTGTAAGTAAACGTATTTGCTTTTTTTTTTTTTAACAAAGAGCCTAAAGAGGTTGGCTAGTGTAATGGTCATGAATAAGCTATTAGTCTTATCATCACAGATGTTAATGTAGGTTACATTTTTTTGGTAATCTTAATGTTAATATCAGCACACTATTTAATTACAGTAAAAATGTGAACAGTTATTTTTATATGTTAGATGACATATTGTTAATTTCTTAAATTCAAAATTTAAAAAATAAATGGGTTTCAATAATACATAGAATAATCTGTAGTGAAAATGAATCACCAATTAATATTACAAATATTAATATAAAGAAATAATTCTTTGTCCATTGTGTCAATTTTTAAAACTCTTACTTCTAGGTCCTTTCTCATAAACAATGGGTTTTTTAACGCTAAATCATAATATTGTATTGTGTTCTTTATCAATTGCTGGTGTGTGTCTATTGTAATAATTACATTGAATCACTGGTGTTTTGGCTCATAATCTTACAAAAAAATATTCTGCTACCATGATTTGTGCTTAAAGAGTTAGTGAGTTGGAATCTATTTATCTGGAAACATTTTATCTTGCTATTTTGACTTCAGAGGCTTCATGGCTTTTTTAAAGGATTGAAGGGCACTTGTAGTAATGAGTTATACAGTCTATTTGGTGAACAAGAGTAACTAGAATTGTTAAGGTATTAATTAGTACAGTGAGCTCCCTTTTTTCAAAGCATTCATTTTTATGATGACTCTGAAAGGTAGGCTGCAGCAGTGATTAAAGTGGGAGATGGTTTCATGGTTTTTACTGCTTCAAGTGCTTGTTTTTATTATGCTACTTCTTTTAAGGTTGTGGAGTGAATTCTTCAAGTCAGTTTGCTGTACTAGATTTATTTTTAAGTTGTTTCTTTCTAAAGTTTCCAGTCTAGTGAATGGAGTGGGGATTTTTTCCTTCTTTCATCCATTTAAAAATATGTCAACTAAATCACTCTCAAGAGAGATTGTAATTTTCCTTTGTATGTCTGTTTTGAGTACTGAAATTCTATTTCATCTAAACCTAGATAGTTGGTAGTGTTAAGATTGTAAATACTGTATTTTTCATTCCATTTCATCCATTCTCCTGAGTTTATCACAAGAATTATGTAGCCAGAATTGAATGTATCTATATTTTCTTCTGTATTGATCAAATCAATTTTATCTGAATAATTATTTTATTTTGCACTTAAAATTTGTAGATCATTAGTTCACAGACCTGGTAATCAAAAGAAAATGCTTTATTTTTTATGACTATGTCACGAGTCAATCAATAGTGCTAAGATCACAATCTAAGATGGTGCCAGATGTTACGATTATACTTGATCTATATTGCACTATCAATGACCATGGTTGCTGAGGATTCAGAAATCGTCAGTTGATAAGATAATCGTTTATAACTTGCTAGTTGATAAGAGGATCATTTAGAAGTTGCCAGTTGATAAGAGGATCATCTAGAAGTTACTAGTTGACAAGACGATCTAAGTATATTATTATATATTCAATGAAGAAACTTCTCTTTGTCTAAAACAAATACTTTAATTCAAAACTTGGAAAAGCTATTCACAAATAATTACAATGGTTAAATGTACTTGAATAAAATAAATGATCTACACAATAATATAATTATGTCTTCTTGAGTTCTAACACGTTCCACACGAGACTGGCGGTAATATCTCTCAGCTAACAAAGCTTGGGCATTACCACGTGACCAACATCTCTCAGCTGCATGGCTAACCAATAAATGCAGCTCAAAGTACAATAATTAATATTTCAAACCAATCACACTCATCCCAAAACATAATTCTGCTGCGTGATGTAAAATTCCCGAGGTGGCTGAAGTTCTGGTAACCTTGGCTAAATATAGATACAGTGTACGTGACAGACTATTAGAAAGCATGTTAGGTAAAGGAGTTCTCCAATTTCTTCTGTAGAGCTTCTTTCCCATAGCATGCAGACTGGGATTGAGAATGGTTTAGATTTCTTTCTAATTCTAATGAAACATTCTGTGTGATATTTGAGGCTTCATAAATCTTTGTAAGGAATTTTATCCCCAGACCTTATCAAATGTTTTTTTCTATCCAACTTTCAAAAGTGGTTAGTTTTGTTAAAAAAAAATATCTTTACTTTTGCTGTCATTTGTTGTGATTAGATTACATTATAAATTATTTTAGTATTTACTCTTTGTTTAAAAAGAAAATCTTGAAAAAAAGAAAAAGTTAAAAATGTATTAACTGGGTTTATTTATAAATGTATTTTAATTATTGACATAGATGGTGATGCACTTTCTTGCCTTGAGCGGACCCTTTGGAGGCATTAAGATGAAGTCCAAAGTCTACAACTTTGAATTCACAGAAGAAGCGTCTGAAACAGAATACCTTGATCTTCCCATTGATTCAGCTGAATGCAACAAACTTCTGGCATCAAAAACCATCAATTTCAGACTAGTTATGTTTCAAGTTACAAAATGAATATTACTGAAATAAACAAACAGATAGATGACAACAAATATTTTTGCTGTCATTTTTTTTTTGTTAAATTTAAATTATTAAGGAGCTACATACTTCTAAAAATGATGCTAGATCAAGTAAACATGTTAAGTAATTGCAGAAGTTGTCAATTTTTTAAAGTCATGACCCTTTCTTTAAGTGACATGTTTATTTATGATTGACAAATCTCATAAATAGGACCATAGAATTGCTTTGAAGTCTCATTGGGAATCTAGATTGCAAAAACCTGAAACCTCTACTGTAATGACTTGACATTGGAATATTCATCTTAAGTAAGATGTTTGTTTGTTTATACTTGTAATGATCTGCTCGCTAAAGACAGACTTTATTTCATCCAATAAGTTGTTTTAAGTGGGGCATTAACTGTTATAGGTAACAGCTGCATTATTTTTTTTCCACAACATTTGTATGAAATTTCCATGCTTAATTTAAATAGTATATTAATGTATATGTATACATAGAGATAGGTTTGAATAGAATACTAGTCTTTATTCATTTTAATGTTAATATATGATTGATATCTTCAAAATGATTTGTCTATTAATTTGATTATATATGATCATGGAAATCTTTCCTTCTTAACTTTAAATATATGCCATTGTGAATATTTTAAAGTAAGAAATAACCTTGTTCTGTCTTAATAAAAATAATTTATTGAAAAGTCTATACTGTCGATTGTAAATACATCACTGTACAGTATTAGATGACAAATCCTTGTGAACATGATTTCTAGTTTTCCAATGAGATTACTGTAAATAGATGTCTTCTTTAGGGGTGTCAGGAATACTGTTGGCTGATTGTGATTGTCTTGAAACTCAGCTCTTCACCCTTTGTTTCATTTTATTTTTCTCTCACATTTTAACCAATGACTTGTCTTAATAACAAATTTATATAAAATCTTGCAAAAGTTTTCATTAAGTAATGTTTTAATGTCAAAATAATTCATTAAACTTTAAAATGCTTTCAGAAATGTATCACAATTGATATTCCAGTTCACACAGAGCCTTATATTTACTTTAAAAAAAATAATTTTAGCTCTTGCAGTTAATGAGCTACATTAGCTATTGTAGCTTTTAAAAATAATCTCTGTATCAGCAAAAGTTATCATATAATGATGGTGTTCTTTGAGCTTCTTTAATGTGTCTATTTAGGAACAAAAGTAATTTGTACTAGTTAAAAAAAAACTAAGAGTACAAGACAGAAATAAAATTTACTCTGAGCTTGTGCTAGTGGTTAGTGTTTTAGTTGACATTTCTTCATTGTATTTTCCAATCTAATTCTTTCTTTTACAACCTTCATTTTATTTTATTTGTTACTTTTAGAAAATGTTTTGGTTTCTTTTTTTTTTTTTGTTTATAATATTTTGTTTATTATTAAATTCATTGTTCAATTATTTTAGGCACAGTTTTAGAGTTTTTAATCAGCACTTTTTATTGTTTTTTTTTGTTTTCCATTTTACCTTGCCTTTAAACTTGACAGAAAAATTCATACCTAACATTTCACATATTAACTAAGAATTCTTTCAGTGCTTGCAATAGTTATTTATGACTAAAGTAAGCGACAACAAAGACATTTGTTTTTAAAAGTATATTCATTTCAGACTTTTTCATTTTGGAAACATGTTTCTTAGGATAGAAATGTTCTATACAAAGAAATAATTTGCACAGCAGGTTTTCTCTTTTTGTTTTCATTGTTTTATTTATTTTATTTTTGTTGTAAAATCTCATTGCTTAGTTGTTGGGTTTATTTTATTTTACCATAGTTTGTATGTTTAAATGAGCTACTTATGAATTAATTCCCTTTAAAAGGCTACTATGTATGCTTCTTCAAAATCCATCTCTTTTTTTAGATTGTGATGATGGCCCACAAAATGTTTTGTGCAAAGCATATTATTAGCTATGTGAAACTAGTCTGAATAAGAATTCAAAGTCTAGTTTTAAGTTTTAACAAATAATCCAATGCACAATTTTTTTTTAAACTATAAATGTTAATAAATTAAAGGTATCTTAGGATTACTATGCAGATACCCTATAAAAACCTTAGCCAAAAAACTTTCTACCTGATAGTTTTAAAAAAAATAAATGCTGCTACAATATCTTTTTCAATGATTCTGAAATATAATTTCATTTTTTTTTTATTTCAAATTTCCAATTAGATCTAACATGGGAGCATTGTGGCTGAGGGTTAAAGTGCTTGGCTTCTGAACCGTCTCTGTGAGACTGGGATTTTTAATTTCTTGACTTTTAGGACACCCCTGGGTCCACCCATCTCCAGTGACTTTAGTTGGGAGAAAGTAAAAGCAATTGGTCATTTGCTGGCCACTACATCCACATTAACTATCAGCCATAGAAACATGACCTTTAATCATCCTCTCTATTGATCAGAAGGCCTGAAAGGTGGACCTACATTATTATAAGATCAAAAGGTCTGAAAGGGATGCTTTACTTACAGCGTCGCACACACACACAAAAAATGCAATATCTTAATTTAAGTTATGTATTTATTTTGTAGGCTGTCATCACATTTTATTTTGTGTATCATTTTCCACTCCTATTTTTATATAGTTTGATTTTTTCATTCCTTCAGATAATTGAAAAAGTGTAAATGTGTTGTTGTTTATTATCAAACTATTTTGATTTTACTGCTGATGGATTTTTTTGGTTTTACTTTTGTGTCCTCAAAATTCAGCTGAGACTATAGGCTTTAAAATAAAACTAGTTTTGTTTGTTGGATAACCCTTAACTTTGTTGTCTAGATAAACACATTTTCAGTAAACAGTGTGTGTTTCACAGATATCTCTAGTTTTCATCAAATTTAATTTTTTTATGAGTTCTACAACAAGGGAAAAAAAAAGTTGAGGATTTTTATATCAAAGTGATGTGTCTTTTATATTTATGCGCACAAAAGATAAATACTCACACACATAAAATATATTTTTAGATGTAAAGCAGCTTATCTCTGAAGACATTTACTACTGATAACATGCAATTTTAAAACAGATAGTCTCTATATACATGTTTGAATGTTGTGCAGTCTATACCATGAATGTTTACATCGGATTTGAATGAATGCTTATTGCTTGACATGTTCCTATATTGTGAGTTTGTTACTAGATCTCTCATGGGGCTAGAGTGTGCTCTGGATTTTCTTGACTTTGCCTGCCAGGGGAATGTGTTTACAGGAATTTTGAGGAAAAGAGACTTCAATGGGATCTATATTTTTATAAATCACAAATAAACTTCATTTTTCACCAAAAAAAATTCAAAATATGAAGTCTTGTTCTATTTAATAGTATTAGTACCTTATGGGCCAGTGTTATTATTAGTAATGCTTTTGTATAGCTTGACTCCTATAGCATGGTCAGTGTGCTCTGGTTCAATCTCCGATGGGGGAAAGTTTCAGTTTTTTTCCTTTAAGGGCACAGCAAATACGAATTTCTAATCAAATATTACCTAGTCCAGACCTGGATTTGAACTCAGCCCTCTCAGTTAGCTAAGCTCTGTCACATGTCCTAAATGTGTCTGGTTCTTATGATTAAAAATAAGTATTTATGCAAGCAGGTATTTTTGAGAATATGTTTAAAGGATTGAATTAATAAAGACTGCTGTAAATAAATGGTCATGTGATTTTCTTGCTGTAAAAGAAATCTAAATGCTAATATTATCACACCATTTCCCTCAATGTATTATTGAATGTGTGAACATTGTAGATGTAGTCCTGCTAAACCTCTTTTTTTTCACTAACATCTTACAGGATTTGACTTTCTATTTTTGATTAAATTAAATAATGGTTCCTTAGCTTAATCTAGACACTGATCTTTATTAACTGTAGGCTGCAATTTAAAATAGCAGAAACTGTTTTGGCCCAATATATTACCATTTTTTAACCAAATATTTTACTGTTATATTATACTTAATATACTAGAATAATGTTGTGCAATAATAGGTTATTAAAATAGACCCTAATTATATTTTTTAAAAAAACTGAAATCGTAATAGTTCTTTCAAATGTAAAGATGGCTCAAGAATACCTAGCTTAATTTTATTTACAAATAATACAGAAAAATGTTTTTGTTCTAATTTTTTTTTATAAATGGAGGGTTTTTTACTTGTATTTAGACATATGCAATTTTTAAATTAAATGTTTAATTTCTCAAAAAAGTTTTTCTGATATCTTGGCTTACCTTTGTGTTAAAGAAAATCTCTTTTTGCATGTGGTATTCAGCAGATTTTTTAAAGATCATTTTAATTGCTTAAAAAAATCTTTTATGTCCTGTACCATAACTGTTGATTGTCTTCTTTGAGTGACTTTAATTTACTACGATATTGCAAAGGTGAAATTGTATAACATGCATATTTTATAGATTGAAAAACATTTTGTCAACCTAATGCCATTACATACAATTATTATTGTAATTTAATTTATTGAAACCATTTCTTCAGGACCCAGTAATGTTAATACATATTAGAAGTGTTTGTCGTACTCATGTGTTAACTTTGAATTTCTTTGCAGCCTTCCCTAATATTAAACGACTGTATGGATTCGTCTTTTAATCATCTTATGACTAACAATTTAAATTGTATCATAATTACTAAAAATGTGTTAGCAATAAAAGAATTTACATATTCAGAGAAACTACAATTTGAAACAAATAAATTTTAATACATACAAATAAAATAAATGTTTAGTGTTTTTGTTGTTGCAATGTTTAATGAATTTAGTCTAAATGTTTAGGGTTAGGTAAACTGGTTCTACAGCAAGCACATTGACAATCTTTTGTTTACATACAGTTATTATGTATGCATTCGTATATGGCAAAGAGTGACTATTTAGGACTTCTAGAACCTCAACACATAAAGTTGAACTCATTTTAGGGATCAGAAGTTGAAATTTGATTTAAAACATTCAAGACTGCATAAAATAATTCCTGTCAAAGTGTATATGTACCACTACAGCAATGCAAGATTATTAAAATAAGACAACAAAACTTGGCTATCAGAAATCATTTTGAATCAATCATATGTGCTTACAAAATGCTTTTCAAATTATAGGCTTTTACTACCTTTCATTTAAGAACTAAAACATGCACTACAATCTATGTCAATGTAAAATAGCAGTACATTTTGGAGGCATCAAACTCATTACAGCGCTTTGAAAGAATGTCAACTTTTTTTATACTCCATTTTACAAAATGGAAAGCACTATACATCGTTGTTTTTTTTAATTACTTCTTGTAATTCTTGGGGAAATAAGATTCGTAGATGAATTTAACGCACTACTTTTGGTGACTCATTTTGTACTAAAATTTGAAATCAAGACCAACATCCAAGCAAACTTGGAGCACTATCTTTCCAGACACTACAAATATTTTCCAAAGAGATTTTATACTTTTCCAGAAATGAACACATTTTGTCAAATACATTAGGTGCTGTAGTAGGCCTAGTAGTTTCAAAATGTCTGCAAAAGAAAATCACCATCTTTTATATACTTTACATTTAAATACTGAATGTCCTTGTAAGCAAAGCTCAAATGTTTGATATAAAAATAAAGTTTCAGTTTGTTTGACTTTATAGATTTTGATAATAGCTGTGGCATTTTTTATTTTTTTTTACGTCTCAAGAGACGATCTTTTCCCTTTGCAACTTCTTGTGTGACTAAAGAGGCCAATCCTTGATACACAGCTGCGATCGCAGATTGGGTATATATAATCACCAGGCACCATTGCATTTTTACCCTTCTTTCTGCTTCTGTTGTGTATGACATCTGCAATCTGTGACCCTTCCTTTATGCTCTCTCTCCATGTGGATCTGTCCAGTACCACCTCTTCCCAGTTGCCAGTGTCGATTTTGAAGAGCTTCATGTCGCGTTTGCATACATCCGTATAAAAGTGGGCAACCAGCGGCTCTCCTGCCTTCTGTTAGATTTCCATACAGGATGTCCTGTGGAAGTCGACCTACTGGCACTCTACGAACGTGGCTAAGCCAGCCAAGGCATCTGCTGCTGATCACAGAGCGGATGTCCTGGCACCCCGAGTGTTAGTGAGTTAGTGTAGTGACTAAATCTAGCTAGACTCGAGTAATGTATGTAGTATTAGATCTATAATATATAGATCTAGATCTTCTAGTATAGAGATCGAGTCTAGATAAGACTAAGATGAATTTGTATTGTTTGGGACATTTGAACGTCAGTATTCAAAGCTTGTGAGGATCATGCATGATTGTTTGAAGATGAACATTGTTTGGGTGTACCCTATCTGTTTTGCTGAAATAGAATAAATATTTTTAATGCATACCAATGTAGGCTTGCTGAAAGGGTAAAAGTATCAAGACTTAATATAAATGGTTCATTGCACAATTATCAGCTGTATTGTGAAATTATATTTTTCACATTAAATAAATAACATCCCAAATATGCAACATGTTCCCTTAAAATAAAATATATCTAACTATTTGATGGGTAAGCACATAATGGATTTATTTGTTGTTGGAAATTATCAATTGAAGTACTGTCTCTGTAGCACCTTACAAACATCTTCAGCAAGTTCTTTTGTGATCTTGATAAATACTTCATCAACAGTCACATTTCTCAGGGCTTTCAGAACGATATCTTCAGTATCCAGAGTCTGGCCAAAGCAATCAGTATTGAAAGGAGATTCTCTGGAGAATCCACAATGGCCTTTAGTTTGTCAATGCAGACCTTCACATGAGAGATCTAGAAAACTGAAGAGAATAAATATAATAGCTGCTTAAATGGTATCTTTAAAATTACATTAATTTTTTTCTTTAAAGTTATAAATGTGGTAGAAATATTACCATTTCCAGATGTTTCATCTTTCATTTTTGTAGATCAGTGTCATCAACGGTCCAGTCAACATCTTGCCAAAAATCCCTGCTAATAAATATAATAAATGTCAAAAGGGTTGAGACACTAAAAAGGAATTGTTTTGAAACTATAAAAATGAATTGGTTGAAAGAAAATATAAAAGTTATTACCTTAAAAGACAAACCGCTTTTCTGCAACAACAAGCACAGTGTTGTTCTGTGTTATATGGCCTATCAGTGGCCTCAACATCACCTTCAGGTCGCAACTTCTTCACCATACTAGGTCGTTCAGTGCTGTCTCTTTTTGCCAGCAGCATCGATAGAATTTTTTTTATCCAAGTAAGGTCCAACTAGGTGCCAGCTGCGGTAATCTTCCTGCAAAAATTCTTCATCTCTGTCATATGCCTTCGAATCTTATTGTCAACAACATCCACATGAAGGCCTGCCACGACCACTTTATCTGGGGAAAATGTAACCAAAAAAAGTTAGTTTTATTTAATTGTGAAAAAAAAATGTTTCAAACAAAATTACACATATGTACAATTTTAATAAAATACAGATTAAAGATTTTTTTTATAAAAGGATAGACATTTTATATAAAATTTAGAATAAATTTCTACAATTATCCTAAATATAGTAGGGTCATTCCATGTCAACTCAACCAGTGGTGTTCACCACACCATCTCAGATCTTCCTGAAATTTACAGGGTTTGTAGTACATTCAAAGTTAAGTAATTCCTGAAAATTTTAGGTCATTTGGTCAAAAACTTTCTGAGATATTATTTTTTAAAGTTTTTAGGGTTGTCGCGAGTTCGCGTGACTTTTACATTTTCGCGATATTTGAACATGAATATTTCAAAAACTAAAAGAGATATCAAGCTGAAATTTTCAACATTCATTCATTATTTCATGCTGAGTTGAATGATGTTTTTATCACAAATGTATCATGCATACAATATCCCCTAAAATTGTCCAAACATTGCACTTTAGACAGCTTTCACCAATATTTGACCCGATATAGCCAAAAACCTTTGACACATGGAATAATGTTTGTTATATCATTAGTAAGTACCATATATGTGTTTATTATTTTCATAGAGAATTTATGTTAATTAATAATAACTTACTCATTGTAGGTACTGTTGTGCCTCACGGTCATCAATTTTAGTGCGCATTGCAGCCCCCAGATGACCATGTTGACAGTAATTCACACTTTTCATATTTTGCACACTTATTAACCTCAGTAAGTACTAGCTATGGTGAAAATTTCATGTTGGTGTCTTAAGCCTTTCCTACTAAATCAATTGCTAATTAAAATCATATTTCGTTAAGTTGCTTTTTGATATTATTCGTACATTAGTGTATTGTAGTAAATCAGCAAAGCAATGAACTGTCAATTAAATTTGATTAAAAAATAGTTAGTTCAAGTTACAAAATCTACTATTAAACAGTTTCTTGCAATTGTCAAAATGCTCATCATCATAGCAATACTGTCTTGCTGAACTGCCAGACAACATTGGTGGTGGAAGATTGCACAGCACATTAGTGAATGGTATTCAGCAGATATCTTCATGATGTGGCCAAGTTAATTTGTAGGTGTTCTGTTCATGAACTTTACCAAGATATCTTGATGTTCATCCGAGTGTTCTATTATGCAACCAATAAACCAATCAGTGTCATAGACAACAGCCACAAACTGTCCTGGATGCAAATCTGTTATGCTTGGTGCCAGTTCAACTGTCAGGTCAGGTTCTGGTGACACATTGACGATTGTACCAAATTCATCACATGACAACCTGAATATCTTCAGCTTGTTTTCATTCACTGCCACAAACCGGTGGTGTGACCGTGTACCAGGAACAGTTTGAATTGATGAAAATCGGTCAACCAAACGGCTGCGATGCACCTCGACGTCATCTTTTGCTGCAAAAAAGAAGTGAATGCCTGGAATGTTTTTAGTTGCCCAATCGTACATTTGATGTGGCGTTAGAATTTGATGTTGCAGAGTTGCCTGCAAACTTGCTCTTGCCACTAGCCTCTTTACTGTACCACCAATACCATCACAAGGACTTTTTCCATGACTAGTAGCAAAAAAATTCCATTCTGCTTCAATGCCAAAATCTCTTTTATGCATGCACAGATTCTTTAAGTTTTTGCAGTTTT